CTCCTGATCCTCCTGCCTTGTCCTCCCCTACCACTGGGATTGCAGGTGTGCACCACCACGCTGGGTTCTGGATAAACCTGCAGTACTGAGGATAAACTCAGGGCCTCATACAAGCTAGGCAAGCACTCTACCACTAAACTATACCCCAGCCTGACCTGTAATTCTTTTTTTGTGTACTAGGGATTGAACCCAGGGGCAATCAACTACTGAGCCACATCCATAGTCCCCATTTTTAAAACTTTTTATTCAGAGACAGGGTCTCACTGAGATGCTTAGAGCCTGGCTAAATTGCTGAGGCTAAACTCGTGATCCTCCTGCCTCAGCCTCCTGAGCTGCTGGGATTACATGAGTGTGCCACTATACCTAGCCTGACCTCTAATTCTTTTAATAAGGGTCAGAGGGAAAAAAAGGAAAAAAACACAACATCTTTAAATATAGTTATTGACACCAGTAATAAGTCAGCCAACTATACAGAACCAAGAGGTTCAAAACTTTTGACACTGGTATTTTTTTTCAATATCTTTATTTTATTTTTTTATTTATGTGGTGCTGAGGATTGAACCCAGTGACTCACACATGCAAGGCAAGTGCTCAACCACTGAGCTACAACCCCAACCCCTTGACATTGGTATTTTTATTAATACAAGATGTTCATCACAAAACAGTGTGGGAACTGCACTGTGTAAAATAACTGACATTTAAGAAATTTAATTCTGCAAATTCTGGTGCAAGAGAGAGAGTCTTTACATACAGGAAACATCAAGCACAATTAGAAAATTACTTGAAAGAGGTATAACAGGGCTGGGATTGTGGCTCAGCGGTAGAGTGCTCCCCTAGCATGGGTGGGACCCGGGTTCTATCCTCAGCACCACATAAAAATAAAGGCATTTGTTGTGTCCATCTACACCTAAAAATAAATAAATAAATAAACATTTTTAAAAAGCTGTGCCCTCGAAGTGCGTTGATAAGTCCACTGTCTAAAAAAAAAAGAGGTATAACAATATTTAGCAAAATATGGACCACATGCTTTACTGCCAAGTATAGTTTAGAAAGGGTAGGACAACCAAGTATTAGAGGCCTAAATAATGGAATGAGAAAAATAAGCAGTGTACATATTACAATTGCAAAGAAGTGAAAATGATTTCAACTCAGACTCAGTGTAATCTTACTCTAAATTGTTGTTCAGAATAATTTCTCTGACTATACCCTAATTTTGCAACAATAGCACAAAATATGCCTTCAGATCATTTGGGCAAGTTCCTGACATCAGGCATGCCATTCATCATTCCTCTAACTTCTGAGTCACTGAAGCTAATCCACTTTACAGTTTCCATATCTTTAACTCCCACTAGATAAATACACAATTTACACTCACTTTTCTGTACAAATTTTACTTCATGCATCAGGATCTTAAGCTGGAGAATTCAACTCTGTAACTGTGCTCTAATGATTTTTAAAATTGTCAATCCTTTGCACAACAAAGTAGGAAGGGATAACTGAGATCTTTCTTAGATTCCAGGACTCTGTGGATTAGGCAACAGGGTCTATGCATTCTCTCCCTGGAATGTTTAATACATTAAACTGGATCCACATGTTCCTTCAAGCATATATCCTTCATTATCATTTGCAACCTGCTTCTTTTCATAAAGCTTTCCAATAAAACCAACATTCTTAGGCTAGGGATGGAGCTCGGTAGTAGAGCACTTGCCTATCATGTATATGTAAGGCCCTAGGTTCATCCTCAGCATCACAAAAAAAGGTAGAGGGGAACAATACTCTCCTTACTGCTCTATTCTACTAGCAGGGTGGGTCCCCTAACAATTCCTTTGATAATATAATAGGAAGTGTCCACCTACAACTAAAAAAAAAACAAACAAATTTTTTTTAAAAAAAGTTACTGTTCTCGCTGGGTGTGGTGGTGCACACAAAATCCTAGCGGCTAGGGAGGCTGAGACAGGAGGATGATGAGTTCAAATCCAGTCTCAGCAACAGTGAGGTACTAAGCAACTCAGTGAGACCTGTCTCTAAATAAAATACAAAATAGGGCTGGGGTTGTAGCTCAGTGGTTGAGTGCCCCCGAGTTCAATCCCTGGTACCAAAAAAAAAAAAAAGTTCCTGTTCTCCATAAAACATGCAGAGCCACTGACTTTACTTTAAAAAGAAAAAAGTAATTGGGGGGGGTTACTAAGGATTAAATCCAGAGGCACTTAACCACTGAGACACATCACCCACCCTTTTAATATTTTATTTGGAGACAGGGTCTCACTGAGTTACTTAGGGCCTTGCTAAGTTGCTGAGGCTGGCTTTGAACTTACATCCTCCTGCCTCAGCCTCCTGAGCCACTGGGATTACAGGCGTGCACCATCACCACACCAGGCTGGTGATGTATTATTTTTTGGTCAATTTTAGCTTTATTTTGTGATAATATGTCCTTCCCTGCCTCAAATCGCTAGAGAGCTGCATTTCATTAGAGCTAATCAGCTTAGATATTGATTAGTAGTACAGAATTCACTAGTTTAGGAGCCAGGAGATACAGGTTCATAGTACTGGCTCTGTCACTATGGCATTTTCAAGATATATGAGTCTCATGTGTTCAACAAGGAGGATTGATGTTGTCTTTCAGTTTATGTTGTGTATATTACAACTACCAAGTAGTATGACACTATAAAAGGTGAGGAGCAGCCGAGTGTGGTGGTATATGGCTATAATTTCAGCAACTTGGGAGGTTGAGGCAGGAGGATTGCAAGTTCCTTGCCAGCTTCAATAACTCAGTGAGACCCTTTCTTTTTTTTAAAAAAGATAATTTTTGTAATATTAATTTTTTTAAGTTGTAGTTGGACACAATACCTTTATTTCATTCATTTTTATGTGATGCTGAGGATTAAACCCAGGGCCCTGCGCATGCTAAGTGAGCACTTTACCGCTGAGCCTCAATCCCAGCCCAAGACCCTTTCTTAAAATAAAAAATAAAAAGGGTTGAGAAGCAGGCATGGCACCACATGCCTGTAATCCCAGTAGCTCGGCTTGAGTCTGAGGCAGGAGGATCGCAAGTTCAAAGCCAGCCTCAGCAATTTAGGAAGGCTGTAAGCAACCTAGAGAGACCCTATCTCAAAATAAAATACAGAGGCTGGGGGTGTGGCTCAGTGGTAGAGTGCTCGCCACCTAGCATGTGTGAGGTACTGGGTTTAATCCTCAGCACCACATAAAAATAAATAAAGGTGCTGGGAGAGGTGGTGCATGCCTGTAATCCTAGTGGCTCAGGAGGCTGATGTAGGAGGACTGTGAGTTCAAAGCTAGCCTCAGCAACAGTGAGGTGCTAAGCAACTCAGTGAGACCCTGTCTCTAAATAAAATACAAAACATAGGGCTGGGGATGTGGCTCAGTGGTTAAGTTCCCCTGGGTTCAATTCCTAATACCAAAAAAAGTGGGGAGGGCTGAGGATGTAGCTCAGAGTTAGAGTGCCCTTGGGTTTAATCCCTAGTACCAGGGCTTGGGGGTGAGCAGCAAAGCTAATAACATATCGTGAATGTACTTTTCAGACTTACAGAATCTAGAAAATCTAGTGATACTGGGATATGTGATCCAAGATCTCTTTGTCTCTCTCTCTCTTTTTTTCCAGTGCTAAGTATAGAAGCCAGGGCCTCACACATGCTAGGCAAATGTTGTACCAGTAAGTTATGTCCCCACTCAAAAAATCTCATTTAAAAACCTATTTGAGGGCTGGGGATGTGGCTCAAGTGGTAGCGCGCTCGCCTGGCATGAGTGTGGCCCGGGTTCGAACCTCAGCACCACATACAA